ATTAGGATAAACACGGAATACATAATAAATTATATTTCTTATTGTTATACTGTGTGGAAAGAATTTTATTTTCCCAAATGAAATAATACAAATATTTATAATGATTAAGGAATAAGTACTACAGATGACCCGAATAGTAAACTGTTTGAGTATTATTAGCTATAATATTTTAGGTGAGGCGGTCATAGCACTGCTTTATGCAATCGGCTACATGTAAGTACGTACAGTACCTACTATCTACATCGATACATTTTGACGTTCGTTGTTAGAACATATTTGGTACCTACAGTAATTGTAACGCATAATACATGTGTGTAACTTAGGTACCTATCATAAATATTAGGTAATATGTTGAACGATTTTACGGTGGATGACAAAATGTATCGACGTACTATGTGTGATTATTTATGCTCATTAATAATTGAGTAATTAAAGACTTAAACGTAGAAAACTATACTTACATTGTTAGATTGACTGTCTGCGTTGTTAACTTCTCGATAGTTGAGGAGTGAATGAGAATAAGAATAGGTAAATGAAAATCTGAATTCACGTCTGAACCATGATAAAACGATAGTGTATTATTAAACTGCCGATAATTGTTAGTTAATTCACAATATACAATGTGATTAGATTGAAATTTAAGTAAAATATTACGCTAGTTGTGTGTACAAATAAACGTTTTGGAAAACTAAATTGATTTAAAACATCGGTAATAAGTTGACTGAACTCTATCTATCTAGAATATCGATGTTCCGACTGGACCTACACAACAGTACCACACCATTATGCAAACTAGATATCCAAAAAAAAAAAAACATTATAAAACCAAGATTTGTAATAACGTATTGCCATGTAAATCTATGCTCGTTTTACTGTGTACAAAAATTCTACCAAAAGCCTTGTTCCGATGTATCAGGTGTACCTTATTTTAGATAGCACTTTTTCTAAAAGTATATCTGACTGGGGACGTAGCTCAAAGAGATAATTTTTCGATTTTACCAAGAGTTTTCCCAGCAAATGTGAAAAACCGGGAAAAAAACATGGGGAAACCTGGAAAAACGCAGGAAAAACGGAAAAATCGGTACAATATTAAACAACAAATACATAATGCCTATTTAATTATTTTACCACAATATGATATATTCATAAAAATGAAAAGGAAAGCGGATAATAGATAAGAATGGAAGATGGCTGCAAACTAATCTGCGGATTGAAACTATAGAGAGAGAATATAATATATATATATATATATATATATATATATATTGTTGACAAAGTATCACTATCAACTGAACTAAATCAACAGAATCGTTTTTTCGTTAGTAATGATTCATCGTTGCTTAGTCATATACATTAAATTACCTATAACAGTGCTGCATCCGTCACCATTATCCTAGGACGTCTTTTTTTGTTACTCGTTTCCAAAATGAACCATTTTTGTCAGTTTTTTTTCACAATGATATTTTGTCTCATTCAATGTTCATTTAGATTCTAAGTACTCTGAGTTAATACTTATGTATTGTGTACCACGATCACCATAGATATAAATTATCTATGTTATTACAAATTTACTAGTTTTTGATGCGACGATGATATTACAACCAAAGATATTATCAAATTATCGATATATTGATTTATTTTATTCGAACAAAAACTTACAGCTGTGGCGAATCCAGGTAATATAATAGGATCATTTTACCCCACCCCCAATGTAATATAGTATGATTTCTCCTTATATTCTGGTAAAATATATACCAGTTTTCATTATTGTTGTAAATGGTTTTGTTCCCCCCCTTCAAAATTAAGGTCTGGATCTGAAACTGCTTAACAACAACTCCATGCGAAAGTTACAGACTGTCTTTTTCTTCTCGTTGGGAAAGACCCACTGCGTTGAGAGCAGCTGCAAGCACTGTAACGGCTAAAGTAGGAAATCCGGACATTGTAACACAAAGCTCGAACATTTTGAGCAATGCAAGATTGTAAGAATAATTTATTTATTATTCTAATTTTTCCTACATTGACCTACATTTCGTTAGCAAAAATGTATTGTTGCATACATATTGTATATTCAATATATTATTGGAATGCTACCCGAAGTTTTTCAATTTTACCGAAAAAGATATACGTAGATTTTTTTAGGAATCCGGCCACGCCCATTAAAATAATACCTCCTCTTAGTTCCATATTGGAATTAACATAGTATTCGTAGTAACATAATATATTTTTTTGTAACTGTCTACGTGTATAGGAACTTACTAGATATCTTCTTTTATGTGAATGACGTTCGTATAGGAACTTACCATTTCCCGATTATATAAGGTAAATAATTCAAGTGCCCCATTAGTTATTAGTATTAATCATTAAAGATAATTAAAAACAAATTTTCGATTACTTATTTATATTTGTAAAATCATTAGTCAACATCACCGCACTACAAATTAATTATTGTAATATTTTTTATGTCGTTCTTATCGGGCATTACCTACCTGGCTATACTTGTAAATACGAAAGACCTTCTATCCAGTACTCAACGATAAAGTCATAGCTACTGTTATTATTATCGTTACATACATACAACAGTTTTTTAATATTTAATATGTACATAGGTACTTGATATTAAATAGAATAATATTAATTATTATCTAGGTAACTATTATACTTAATAATTATAACTATTTAAAACTTTCAAATTTGAATGACAATATTTTATTCACAATCTATTCAATAAAGCCGGTACCATAAAAAAATGATTCTATAAAAATTTCGACTAAAATTTCAACATAAGGGTAATTATTGTTTATGTTGTAACAAACGCAAGTTTGATATATCACCCGATTGTAACAGTAGATGCGAATTAAGAGAAGGTCATAGTGATATTTGCTGTCTTTGTCTTTTTAATGAAAAATACAGCAACAATGTATTCTTGTAAAATAAATGAAAAGTTTTTAAAATCAATTTATTTGATAAAAAAGAAAACCGGTTGTAAAATATTTAAGTGGCAATATACTTAACACAGTATCATTAGTGTTTTGCGATTCTCTAAATATTCTACTTAAATAAAAGCTATAACAAATCGTATTTTGTATTTTTTTTTCAATAATTTTAACTTTTTTAAAAATGTATATTTCAAAAAAATTCCGATGGAGTTGCTTTTAAAATGTTGTCATCTAAACATTTTGGTAAGTATTTTATATTTAAAAATAATTTTAAAGCCTTCTTTGCTTAATTTACGTAAACATATTTTTTCTGTACTGCCCATTAAAGCGACAAACAGTATATGTCATCACTATTATTACTCGACAATAACGTTTTATTAAAAATTCTCCATGTTTTGGTTCTGTATAAAAAACTATATTATTAACAACGCGATCGATAAAGACTTACGTTTAAGCAACCTAATAAACTAAGGTAAACTAAATGTAATCACAGCTCTATTTTGTTTTAAACGATTATAAATGAAAACTTTTCTGTACAATAAAGAAAAAGTTGTTACTGCTCACTGATAGGTCACTATTGTAGGAGGGTAGTTGAGAAAGTAGAATATACCGGGTAATATTGTGTGTATACTGCATGTTACGATAAATCAGTGAAAACGAAAAAATGAGTCTTAGTATAGTTTTAGTCATGTTTTTTACTTTGTGAATAAGTTAACCTAGCAATCAACAAAAGATTCATCCTGGGGATGAACTTTTGAAAATGTCCGACATATTTCCGAATAAAGCACCATTAAACGAAAAATGTACATTTTTTTTAAAAGCATGGCATTAAAAATACCTGAGTAATTTTATTCATCGTAAAGTTAAAAGGAATTTTGCAAGAAAAAAAACATTTTTAATGTAAAACTGTAATAGCTTCTTCGTTACATTCAGAATCTAAAGTAAACAAATATTTAATAATATGATTGCTGTTTATTTATTTTCAAAGCTGGGCATGTTAGTCGTTTTTATTAACTAGAGAATGTTAAGTTACTTTATTGGAAAAACTATAATAGTTAAAATAGTTATAATACCATAGGAATTAGTTTCTGTTAGCATATTATACTTTCGGTAAATTTTCGTCCCTATGTCGATTTTCAAAAAAAAAAAAATATAAAATAATCGGTATAAGATATCACGGAGAGAACTATTTAATGTATGTGTAATTGAGAACGTGATATACCCGCATGTGCTACTTTTGTTTCTTAAACGTACGCAGAACAAATTTTCGTCTAACAGGGACAATATTTCGCTGTTAGTTTTAATATGACAGTGAATCAACCTATCAATCGATTATTATCGAACTTAAAGAAAGGTAAGAAAATAATAGGCGTGGCTAGGTTATATTTGCAAAAAGGTACAAAAACAATTTCAGACCCACTCTACCCAAAATAATTTCTCGAAAATCTTAAAAAAAAAAAAAAAACGAATTGCTTTAAAATGATTTAATTATTGTTCTTTGTATTTTGTAACTGTAAAATAGTCTATAGGTCATTTAATGGTGGGTTTAAATTTGATAACACTTAAAACTCTTTGATAACTTCATCGTAGTTAATTTCATTTGCAATTTCAGACGTTGTTCTAAAAATATCATGCGTATTGAGTCGAGTCTTTCTTATGTCATATTACTTCTCAATTTGTTTTTCACAATATTTAATTTATATAATTACCGTTCATAGGAACAGCTGCCAACTTGTGACTTGTACAGTCGCGCAAGTTAAAAGCACATTAAATGCATAAATGAAACTATCATATTTTGATAATTTGTATAGCGTTGTTTCTTCTTATTCGCGGTTTTTGTCGTGGATCCTTAATCAAGACGCCCTAAGTGCTTTTAATAACGGTATTTCAGTCGTAATTATCGTTCATCTTCATTTGATAACGACAATAGTGATTTTTTTTCGCATCAAAAAACCATAAATAAATTAGATAATAAATTACAAATAGATACATGAAGAATTAATAAATCACATGTCAGTTGGCTATTTCAAGACTAACCGTCAGCCGACGGTATGGGTATGGGTGTTATTGTAAATGTTGGTCTAATCGGTTATTATACTTTGTCCTCCCAATGTATTTAGCTGCTTCGATTGCATCAGCCATGGTCGCAGTACATAATGTAGGGCAGTTTAGACATGTAGGAGTAGAAGTTGGGGCATGGTTTGTTCGTCGCATTTTGTGTCTCCCAGCAGAACCCACTTGTTTAGGTTGTCCTTCGATCTTCCGATTCCCGTTCATAGCCAGCTGTAGAGTGTTCTCCGTGTTTGCCGGCCAAGGCCCTGTCCCGCTGGCAAGTGTTCTGGCCTCGGAGGGGGGGGGGCTTTTTTGGGGTGTTCGTACACTTCGAAAATCAATTCCTTGATCCGAATTCGTGATGAGAGTGATAACACATATACAGTTGTATCGGACGTAGAGAACAATATTGACGTAAAACGTTTTCAGTTTTTGTACACGACTCCTTTAGTCGCATTGTGTTGCCTCGACGCGTCTCGCGGGGGTGTACAGCCGCGGCTGTCGGCGAACGCCCTGCCAGCCGCGCGGCCACGTGTACGGACGGTTTTCTCGCGTCGCATAACCGCGCCCGATAACATTTGTAACGTCGCGTAACACAACCGACGGCCGCGCCGAAAGAGCCCCCCCCCCTCCCGCGTACGTCATGGTCGTCATCGCCGGTCCGCGGCGGTCATCTACAGACCGGAATCGCATGATTTGCACGCCGTTACACTTGCGCGGCGGTTGTCGTTTCGGACGTCGCGGCGGGGTTGCGGTGGCGGTTGTGGTGGGAGGGGGGGGGGGCGCGCGCGAACGATACGTTTCGTCCGCGGAAACCGCCGCGGTAAACACACCAATTACAATAACGGCAATGTTGCCGGGCAGCTGGTGTGCCGCGGCGCGTAATCCGGGGACGAAATCCGCGACGTGTCGTTTGGTCGGCGGCGGCCGACTGTGCGCGGGTACGCGCGTCCCGTGCCCCGGCCGATCGTTGTTACCCGTACGAATGCAGCGACAACGTCGACGAGCCGAACCGCGCGTGTTTCGTATTAATAGCGAAAATAATCGGTATACGCGCGACAATAATATTATTATTGTTGTCGTTATCGTTATTAATGCGGTACGATGTACGGTTGTGCGTGTACGGTCGGCGGTGTCACGCGAACGTTTACAATACAATATGTATCGGGGGCGTGTGTGCGTGTGTGTGTGTGTGCGCGTGTGTGTGTGTGTGTGTGTGTGGGGGGGGGGGGTTCGATTTCGACAACGGCGACGCGTGGCGATATATAACCGCGAGGCAATAAATACCAGTATAAAAGGAACAATGCGACGGCCGCTCCGGCCGTCACACCCTCACTCTTTCTCGCGCAGCCTCCCTCTCACTCGCTCTCTCGTCACCGCCGCGGTATAGTAATATAATAGTCTCCCTCCATATATATTGTCGCGATTGACCAATGGCCGGTTATTTGGCAGGCCAATATCTAGTGAAATCCAATTTAGCTGACAAACGACGGGGTAAACCGCACGCGCGCATTACAATTGCAGCGGCCCGGCGGCGGCGCGGGCGCAGGACAATTACTATATGGGAAATTTTCATTAATTCGCGGGACAAAACGTCGTCGCGTCGCGCGTAATCTTATTGTTTTTTTTTTCAGACATATTGGACATAAAAGTGAGCTGATGTCGCGCATTGATAGGTTTAACGGCTAAACATTATCTAAACCGCAGTATTATAAGGATTACGCGCGGTGTACGCATACATACGTATTTATATATATATATATGTGTGTGTGTGTGTGTGCGTGCGCGTGTATATATATATATATATATAACTAAGTATACGGTATAATTTAGTTAAAAGGCAGTAAACCGCCGAACACTGCCGCAGTTTAATAATATAATAATATTACGTTTATGTTACGCGAAAAAGGCGAAATTTAATTAACCGATATTTACGATTCTCCGCGTTTAATGCGTGTGCACGTGGTGGGATTTGTTTTTGTCGCATCGGAAAACAATTCGCGTAGTCTTCGCAGCCAACAATAATGGCAATAATAATGCCGGTGATACGGTGGTCACGGTGGTTACAACGAGACGTTGAAAAACGAAAACGATAACGGTTGGTTATGATGATAAATAACTTGTACGGTTGTACTATAACAACCCGTCTCTAAACCTGTATACACAGTGGCGACGGCGGCGCGACCGGGGGTTTATTTTCTTCGGTGGGTGGCGGCCGTGTGAGGGGGGGGAGGTAATTAATAATTTCAAAAAGTTGATACTGCCCACGGGAAAGCCGCTCTCTCCGGTTGGTAGTTTAGAAGGTGGGTAATTATACGCATAAGCGTACGCAGACTTTGCTGGCTGCAGGGGTGGGGGGGCAGAATATATTTATTATTTATTATATGCAATATAATTGAATATTATCTCGGTTATTAGTTCAATTAATGTTGGCGACGGAAGTACGTTGGTTTTATGTATCGTTAATTTAATTGCAAATTTAATGTAAAAATTGAAATTGTGCAGTTTTTGGTACAGGCAAAAGAATTAATTCCTTTTTAGTTTTTTTTTTTTTTCAAGAACGAGAAATTGAAAGGATTCTTTTATAAGAGGAACGTTAATAACTCTGTTAGTTACTAATAAGTAATAAATCACAATTTTTTTTTCTATGGACAACTTTTCTACCGGAAATTTTGCTCCGATTTGCAATGATGGCACGTTTTCTTAAAGGATATCTGGTTAGGAAGGTACTTCAAGGAGGTATTTTTTTGACTTTCCCAGGAGTTTTCCCAGTAAATGGAAAAACAGAGGAAAGCGAGAAAAGAGGTACAATATTAATAAATATAATAAAGGAAATATACCGATGTAATTATTTTACTATAATATGACATATATATTGTTGACAAAGCAACACTATCAGCTGTACTCCCTTCAGAATTGTTTATTCTTTAGCAATGGTTTATCCTTGCTTACAGGTATACATTAAATTTCCCCTTTACTGCCTACCTAACTTCTCACCTACAACAGTGGCCCACCCACGAGCGAAGTATGGCCGTCTTTTTTATTAACATACGAGGTACATAATTCACGCTACACTTATTTGTTTAGACAATATCTATTTTCTGCCAAAAACCAATATAATTAAAGACACTACACAGTAAATCTACCGTGGTAGAATCTAAAATAGGCAAAAATTTAGCAGTACTGTTATTGAGGTAGGAATTTTTTTTTTCATAAATAATTTTTAATCAACGAATTATGTTCAAAAATCGGTATATACCGGCTACGTTCATAATCAAAAAAAAAAAAAAAAAATACATCGAATTTCATCTAGTTGTTTCATAGCCATCGACCGAAGATACACGAACGATAAACATAACAATATTCTATTTATATTACCATGTTTTCAATGTGTTATCACACATAATACGAGCACTTTCACAGCACGTCTCTAGGCGTCATAAACCTAATTAAATACGATAAGATTACAGATTTATACTCATAGGAACCAGTTCTAACGGTTGGACGATGATAGGTAATTTTTACCGGGAACCTAATTCGTGCATTCTGTTTGACCGGAGTACCCCGACGGGGTAAACGTCGTTGCAATCGAGTTGGACGTATTATTCCAATAAATGATCGGTGCAGGAGACCGTCTGGCCACCAACGGTACCTACACAAAACGACCGCACAGAACGCGCACTATTAGTATCAGTAATAATTCAAATCGCTCAACTGTATAATAGTTGTTAATCGATTAAATTACAATATTACCCGACAGATCGTATTGAGTGCATAACAGTAACAGTAATACGATGTAGATGCGTAGGTATTATATTTTCGAACGGTGTAAACGAAATGTTCAAACGGTAACGGCGTGCAATGAGTGCGCGATAAGCTCTGAAGAGCGAAAAAGACAAATACCGCATTGTGCACAGTGTGTCGATTAAATTATTATGCCGTTATCGAAACACGGTGTTTGCCTACATTGTCGTATACTTGTATTGTAGCTATCTGCGAAGATCAACAGTGAATTTCCATTTGACTCTGGTGTCTTTGTTTTGTTCAAATAAAATACGCCCGCCGATAAGCGGCTACTTTAAAACGGTTACCTACACACTCGACGCTCGATATTGAATTTTCGCAGCATTACAATATTTTCATTTCAGCCCGGCTTTCGGGATAACGGACGTCGTCGATCTTTTCAACAGCGTTACATTTCAATAGAGCACCGCGGTATATTACACCGAAACTCTGACAACTTTATTGGTTATATGGACACTACACGATCAGGCCTTGGGCGGTGGTATAATTGGGCCCCCACGACCTGAACAGAGTACTATTTTATTAAAACGTGTGAACAGGGTGATGGTAGATAAACAAAAGCCTAGATTGGTTTAACTGTTATTTTTATTTCACATTAAACGAATCGATAATTATAAATCAATCCGGAAAAATAGCTCTTTTGGCATACGCAAGTATTGAGTAGTGCTTAAAAATCTATTTTTACCGAAGGAGTACTCCTCTAGATTAAAGATTGGCAAAATTGTTAATCATTTCTTTGAAGTCTATGTCTTTGAGCATATCACATTCTATGAACATTGACAACACACTGTTCAATCTTTCTTGTAGCATTGTACTTCCTAATTCATTTTTAACTATTTTTATTTTGGAAAAGGAGCGTTTTCCACTACAATTATTTACCATCGTGGTATCACGCTTAAAAATATTCTTAATGTAATTGCTACATTCGGAAATGTGTTTTCAATTTTGTTTTATTTCAAAAGATGATGTATTCCTAATATACTATCAGTTTCTTTATTTTCACTATTTTCACTACATATTCATATATGTATCAAGTTTCAAGTATTCTGTTAAACACAAACATTAATACTTATTCGACTACAGTTTATCAGAAGATAAGACATAATAATGTAGTATACCAAACATTAAAAATCTTTAAAAATCTAAGATATAGCTGTGACAGGACATTAATATTTTCTAATTTTTTTTACTATATTATTTTTTATTCTGTTTATTAATTTGGTAGCCGTGGGGCACAAAAAAATTTGCGCTGGGCCACATTGTGGCTACCGGGCCGCGTGTTTAACATGCCGAATCTAGTTTATTTAAGTTTTAGTAGCAGTTTTAAAATATAAGCATGAGCAAGTAGGTTTGTAGTCAGTAATTTTCCTTTGAGTTTTCTCGAAATAAATTTATTTATCAGTAATAACTAATAAATATCG